TTGCAGAAATGCTCAATACGGATACTGTTGTCCCCCGTTCTCTACGATATGATGCGGCCATGCCTGGTTGGGCGCAATCCGCATTCATAATGCGGGCAATGCCCTGCAAGTCCACGTGATGAGTTGTGACCGGCACCGTGTAACATCAATGCAAGCCCCAAACATGGTGTTCCACTACTGTAACGCGATGGCGCATGGTACACGCGTGTGATGCGTCAGCTTGGCATGTCAATAGGCCGTAACACAGCTAATGGGCCTATTTTGCGTCTTCTTAGGATGGGGAGTGTTATTTTACGACTGAAACTACAATTAAATGCATTAAACAAATAGATTTTTTTGCGCCCCCGGCCCGCAATAGCCCCTTTTTGACCATGTCACGGGGGGGCACTAAATAGGGACCCTTACTGCACACCACCAACTATTCGCCCCACTCCCATTCGTTCACGGCGTTCCCTTGGTCGTCCCACATATCATTGCAGGGCCTCATCCCCCCAGTCCTGATCGGGCTGGCCGCGGTGCGCCAACAAGCACGCCACAGCGTCGACCGGCGGAGGGCCGGCAGCCCTTGGAGACAATGGCGTCCAAGGCGCAATGCGTCAAGGACGTGCCGGCGGAGGTGTTCATAGAGGCATACGCTCAACACCTGAAGGAGAAGGTGATCGCGCGACCGCCTGTGATCCATGTCGCTGGCCTCGGGATCTTTGCGGCGCTGGCGCGCCTGCGTGGGTGGGCGGAATTCTGCGTTGCGGCTCAGAGTCGATAAGGGATCATTCGGCGTGGCGAATCATGGACACCTGGAGCCATGATTGCGTATCTGCGCAGCCCCCGTTGTCGTTTTGCCGTTGGTGATTGTCAGTTGTCACTGTGGGCAGTGCGCTTTGAGGAGAATGTGCAGGTTTGCTGCCTTGGAGGTAATCTACATTGATCTCTGTTGTCCAGATCACCGGGCGGGGGGATCTTGAAGTACAGAGTGCTCGTTGTTTTTGGCGTTCCTGATTCCCTGTGGCGGGGGCATTGAAATTTCCTTGTTGCCTTGTGCAACAGCTTGAGGTTCCCCCCTGGGTGGACATTGTGAAGACCGCTCCCTTCAAGGAACTGCCACCGAGGGATCCTGATTGGTACTTCATCCGTGCAGGTAATCCTTTTGTGGCGAGATAATCAGGGCTTCAATTTCCGTCCTTGAGTCACATGTTGAATCACTTGCATCAAAAGGATTTGATAAACTTTTGATGGCCGCAGCTGAAGGGGGCGGTCGTGCATCAACTAGTAACGCTAAATTTCGCTGAATTAGCTGCATGTTCTCAATGAGGCGCTGTCGACAAGGCCCTTATCAGCAAATTGAATGCACTCGATGTGGTCTACGGAAAACTTCCGATTCTACCGATTCCCCGATTCTACCGGTTCCCCGATTGTAACCGAGTCTATGCTAGGTGCTGCCCACAGCGGCGCACAGCTTGCCAGTCTGTTTGGGTGCTTGATGGCCTTCCTGTTGCCGTAGCACACTGCCTAAAATGCCTATTGCTGTTGGACACAGCATCCATTCTCCGAAGGCTGTACCTGAGCCAAGAAATCGGAGTTGGATGCTTCCGGAGGATTTATGGCGGTCGCACTTCCAGAAGGGGGCCAAGGCCCGACAAGAAGGCGATCGCATCTGCAGGGCTGATTCGCCACATACTGATCCAGCTGGAGAAGGTTGGGTTTGTGAGGAAGAGTGACAACGACAAGGGGGGCCGACGGTTGACGGCCAGGGGACAGAAGGACATGGACCTTGTAGCCGGGGGCTCCAAGTTCAAATCATACGCTTTTTGAGAGGAGGGGTCGGATGTTGAAGGCGCTGCAAAACAAAACCTGTGAAACATGGGAGGATTTGCACAAAAGACCCAGCCTGGGCTTGAATGACCTTGCAGAAGGGCTGACTATTGCCGCCTTTGCTGGGATTGTAGTTCGGACAATGAATTATCCAGCCTGTTTCAAGCCCACTGTCCATGTCTAATTTTTAATTGCTATGTTGGTTCTAAACATACAAAAAGCTGTGTTTTGGCGGCTGCCCTGTCAACTTCATCCAGTTTCTTTCGACCCATCCACACTGTTGCTTTTGAAATTCTGGAGTTTTTTGAGTGACGAGTTGCACAGAAAACAAATGCACAACTTCCTGCCCTCTGAAACTTGGACAACTTCTGAGAAATGTGGGAATCATGCGCTTAAAACAGGAGAAAGGGGAGCGCTCTGCCTGGCAAAATGTTCCTGCACCAAGACATGTTGCTGAACTCCTGCGTTAATTGTTTCGTATGTGGTGGGCCAGTGTGCACACACACACACACACACACATGGTTGTGGGTCTTTTCAGTTGAGGGGCGCTCAGCTTGCGATATATGTGTTTGGCTCTGCACACGAGGTCAGCCGCTTTGCTTTTGGCTGAAAATCCTGGGCAAAGGATAGCATGAGTTTGTTGCCAAGATGTATGGGCAAGAGATTGTTGCATGGCTTTTGTGGCCACCTGTCCCTTACCACCTTGAACTTGGCCGTTTTGTTGGGCGTTCGTTCCAGGCGACTTGCCACTGTGGCAGGCCGTCTAGTTGTTCTTGTTGCAGATTTTCTACCACATTTAAGCAGCAGCCACCATCGCCCCAGAAGAATTGATGTGGATGAGCCCATTGCCATTGACATTGTTCAAGGGCTTATACTGCTCGCTTCCCAGACACACTCTTGATGTCCATCTAAAACTTCTTCAGCAACAGATTCGCTTTTGTGGTGCCTATAGTTGCCATGGTGTTAAGTAGCCTGGTAACCAGCTGCAGTCCATTCGGTTGCTGATGCTGCCAGTTTGCACCTCCATTCCCTGTCCTGTCGTACCGGCGAGCAGCTGCATGCTTCAGCAGTACTTCATCAGTACTTGGCATGGGGAGCAGTGGCCATTGGCCAATCCAGCGTTGCTATATTGATGATGCAGGCAGGCTGTGACTTCTGGTCTGCTGGCGTGGCCGTTGTTATCACCTGAGCTTGAGCTATGCCTAAGCCAGCACAATGTAATAAAGCCATTCCTTGAAGTACAGCTCCAGCCAGAGCCAATGGCAGCACCAGGCCCTCTTGATCATTTGCAGCTGCAGGTTGACGTCCTTCTCCATTTAGAAATTCAGTCAACGATATCGGAGAACCACGGGCAGTAGTTTTCTCGCAATAAAACTGACCCACGTGTATTAGACTGTGGCAGTGCGGCCCGGGCAGCGGGCCTCGCACTATCCGCCACAGTCACGAGTGACAAGCGACTCGCCCAGCGCAACGGGGAAAGGGTTGAAAGGGAAAGGGACCGTGACAATGCGCAACAGTGGTCATTGTGAAACGCCACAAACGGAATGGTAGTTCCGCAATGCAGACTAAAACGAACGCCGTGTTGTCGACTCAGCTGCGCGGCCTTGCACACCCCCACGGGCGCCGATATTTTCGGTGCGTCCGAACGCCTGGACACGTCAACTGGAGGGGCTGGGCTCACAGGAGCAGGGCCTCAAGCTCCGGAACGCGCGGGCGCGTGCTACCGGACGAGGCGCTGATCAGCTCGCGCTGTGTGAAATGGCTTCGTCGCGCAGCTGAACGTCGAACCTGGCACCAGGCCATTAACCACAGGCACCTTGGTCGCGGCGCAGACCAAGTCCCTGACCCCTGGGGCAGGGCTAGGGACATTGCTGCGCTGATGTTTCCTGTCTACATGACCGGTTCACGAAGTTCAGTACAATCTGTTTCAACTTGCGGGGGTGAGAAGGATGCCGTCGCGGAACTGCTCTGCGGCAGCCTGTCGTAGCGACGCACTGGCCTTCCAAGGACCATGTGATGGTTTAGGGTTGTCGGGTAAGGAGCCTGACGCGCGTGTCTTTGTCAAGCGGGTGAGCCCAGCGACAGATTCAATCCGACAAGGAGAGAAGCCTCCTTCTCGTCAAAGCGCCTTGCGTTTGGCGTCAAGACATTTAAGGCTGAAACCGACAGGCCTATTGCTCCGCCGCCGCATCCGTGATCAATAGAGTTGCTGCCTTGCCTCTTTGCAGAGTTGCCCAAACGCGGCATTGGGATGGCGAGCCGGGGCGGGCAAGGGGCTGGTCTGCCTATCGTGTAAGGATAGTCAGGCAAACGCACACCCGAATCTCAAGCGTCCGCTGATGTCCAGGAGCCCGTTGGTGGCTCCCGCGCCGACAAAAGTCAGCCGGACTGCCGTCGTCACGCCGCACTGCCGCGCGGTGCGCACCCACAGATGTCCGCCCTTCTTTCCAACAAAGGACGGGGATCGGGCGACAACGATCAGGGGGAGATGCGCACCTTGGAGGCCAATTACTTCCGTCGCGGTGGCCCTTTCCCTCGACCGAATGCACGCCGGCGGCGGCGCCGCCCCGGCGAAAGCGACAGGCATTGACGGGCCCTACCCGCCCCACCGGCCGCCCTCCTTTTCAGCTGCTCAGTGTCCGGACCCACACCGTGCGCGCCATCCCTTCCCCTTCAACCCCTGGTATTGCGGCAGGGCTTCCGCGCGCCAACGTAGTCCCGTTAGTGGCGCCCTCGTTGGACACTCGCTTCGCTGGGCGCCCGCCCGACATCGTGGCGCAACCCCAATACGGTATACGATTCGCCGTCCGGCGACCGCACCGCATGACACGTGTGCGCGGATACCTCACCCCCCTTGGTCGTTGGCCCACGCCTGAGCCTGACCCGCAACTCACACCCAAGGGCAAACGCCTGAGCCGATTGACGCCCGTCCAGCGCACGACGGCGCCTGCGCTGCGCTGAGGCGCCCGAGCTTCGAGTCCCACTCCCCAGCCCACCCCCTCCCCCCCCCATTACCTGCACGCACTCGTCGCTGCGCCCCTGGGCCCACACACCTCTATACTTCCCAGCTCACACACACCCCGGCCGGCCGGTGACTTTGGGCCGAGGGGCCGAGGGAGGTTGGCGCCCTCCGAACGGCAAGGCCGGGGAATGGGGGCTTGCCCGACAGACCACGCATCCCTGCCATCATAATGGCGGATCCTCCTGCGGACGCTGGGGGCGAGGAGGGCGGGGATTGGCCCCTGGCGCGCATCGGTGGAGCGACCCAGCCGGCGGATGGGGTCCAGGGAAGCGGGGTGGAGGGCGGGAGGGACGGCGCAGACGGCAGGTTTGAATCCTCGGCTGGGCATTCGGGGGCCGTTGGGGGAAACGAGCCCGGCGAGCGGCCGCCGGCAGTGCCGCCGATCGGCGACGGGCTGGAGGAAATGCTGCTCAGGCTGGGGGGGGTCCACTGGGCGGGCGGCGACCTGCACCTGACGTCGCTGGAGGCCGACGGCACCAGCAGCCCCGCAATTGAGGGCTACCTGGATTTCTGCGACTTAAGCGCGACGCCCAAGTCGTCGGAGCGGTGGGGGGAGCGCTCGAGCACGATGCCCCTGCAGCGGTCGCCCCTGGGTAGCGAGGTGGCCAAGGCCAGCAGCGCCAAGGCCGTGCTGAGTCCTCCTCGAGCCGCGGATCCCACCGAATGGCCCCGTCCGCCTGGTTCGAGCACGGGCGGATCGGGCACTGGCGCGTCGGCCGAACAATCGGCGGAGTGGGCCGGGAAGGGCCCCCTGGCGGGCGTGCCGCCCGTGCCCAGCGGGCGGTGGAGCCAGAGGGGCGATGAGCGGCGGGATCGAGCCCGTGGACCCGGCGCGGCGTCAATCACGTCGTCCGAGGCGGCGATGTCATCTTCCGGCGCCCGGGGCGACCACCTGAGGCTCATCCGCCACGGCTGGCGGGGCAGCTCGGGCGGCACGACGCGCCTGCTGGACGGCGCGCTGGAGGACCCCTTCTACGACATGCCCGGGCGCTGCGCGAGGATGGAGGAGCCCCCCGTGGAGTCCGGGGACTACCGGATGCTCACCGGCCTGGGCAGCGGCATACGGATGGAGCTGGTGACCACGGACAGCACGCACACCACGGTGGCGCCCTACAGGTCGGTGGACAGGAGCGTGGGTGTATCCAGCGCGGGCAGGCCGCCCCTGGCCAGCAAGGAGAGCTTCCTGCACTACGACGTGGAAGACCAGCAGCTGTCGCTGTCCACGGTGCCCGACTCCGGCGAGACCAGCGGCACTTCGCCAAACCTAAGATCGGACGGGGCGGGCGCCTGGGAGGGGGCGGAAGGGACTCTGTCCCAGCGCTACAAGTCCTTGGTGTCAAGGGGAGACGGTCAGGGGAGGGTGGGATTGAACCTGGAGGCCGTGCGGAGGGCGGGGGGTGCCGGCCCGGCGGTGGGGGAGCTGGACAGCGCCAGGAACAGCCGGAGCAGGCGGCCGGGATCGAGCAGCCTGTCCGGGGAGAGCTCCGACGCCCCGCAGGGCGGTGGGAAGGAGGGGTCCGAGAGGGGGGTGGCGGGCGTGCGGGAGACCAGGCACGCCAGGGCGCTGTCCGACCCCACGTCGATCCATTCTCCGACGGTGGCCGAGGGACAGGAGGAGAGGAACGACAGCGCGGCCGACACGGCGTTTCCGGCCTGGCCCATGCCCGACGGAAAGGATAAGAGGCACTCCGTGGACGAGAAGCTCGAGACCGGCCAGAGCTGGCCTGTGGAGATCAACTCGTACCCGCCGAGCGAGTCCAGGCACGCGCTGCCGCCGGGGCCCGGCTGGCAGCCCCCAATGTGGCAGCAGCAGCAGCAGTACAAGGCCTACGAGGCGGCCTTGGGGCTGGCGCCCGTGCGGAGCATCCAGATGAATAGCATCTCGGTTTCGGGGCCGCTGCCGGAGGGGAGTGTGGCGGGCATGGAAACCAGCCTGGTCGGGAAGGGGTTGGGGAGGGTGGGGAGACTGAGGAGGCTGTTTGGTAGGCTGTTTTGGTGCAGATGGCCCGGAGGAAAGAAGAGGGCCACAGTGGGAGAGGATGAAGAAGTGGCCAACTCCATATTTTATGAAGGAGTGGACGAAGGTGGGTGTTGGGGATCTGCAGGTTGCTGGCTGTCTTCTGTCGGCGACGAGCCAGTGCAATGCAGTGCTAGCTTTTTGTGTTGACTCGGATATCAACAACGCCCGGATGCATTGGCCGCTACATGGCCTGATCCAGTCCATGGTGAATGAGAACCAGTGAATTCCATAAGCGAGGATGGAGTGAAGCAGTAACTACGGAAAAAAATTCCTCCTTGTAGAGTTCAGTGCTTGTCATCTGTCAGGTCAGGCTTTGCAGCATACTCACAAAGTAATTGCTGCAGGGTGGCTGCAGGCTTCAGGATGCCAATTGCCACTGTTCCTGCTTTCTTCCCAGTGCACATCTGCCATGTTGCTGATGTTAGGCCTCATCAACAGTGCGAAACAAGCAGGACTGCAGGTGTCCAGCATGCAGCGACTTTGGCTCCTGCTTGTGGCACAAGCTGTTTTCGACAGACTGGTACCATGTGTTGAGGAAAGTGCTGTGTGTGTTGTGATCTGTTTGACAATTGTGTAACTCGAGGTCTTGCTGGGAGTCGCGTGATGCAGAAGTTAATGCGTGCACCGCAACCAGCAGGCAACAATCAATAAAGTGCAAGCCAGCAAAGAAAGTCAATGCAGTTTATGGTGTGCCTTTGATCCTTTTTTTGTCAGCTTACTGCTTTATTGTTCGTGCTTTTAGGTGTCTGTAAGGAGACGGGTCTGGGGAGGTCGACTGCTGGGTATGCCAGGAGGCAGAAATTTATGATGCGGATGATAGAGGAGTCGAGACTCGAGTGATGATGAGGCTGTCAGCAATGTGAAAGCCTGGTGTTTGTGTGAACAACAATAACGACTCGATTTTCGCCTTTGAGTTCCTGCGCAGAGGGTGCTGCGGGTAAGAGGTGTGTGTGTCAAAGCTGGGGCTGTGGGATTTTTTATGACGTGGGGATGACCGCGTGTACATTGGCAGCAGCTGTGGCTCGTTCCATTGTATTTGTTGGAGCACATTCTTAAAAGTTAGGGTGGCAATGCACGAGGCACCACCGTCGATTCGTGACTGGTTTGTTGCTAGGCGCTGCCGCCCACGCTCGATGGGTGGGGACATTGAACGGGATGCAGGCCAGTACCTGCCGTTGACATGGTGTACTCCACTTCTTTGGAGGCCTGCTGTGTACATAATGCAGAAATAGACATCAGGGAGTTGGGTGGTGGTGGTGGTAGGCGCTCGGTCCCTCTGCCACAGGGGTCCCTTGCAGTCGTGCTTGCTCCCCCACCTCGGATGCCCGAGGAGCCGTTTCAACTCTGTTAGTGCCGTGAGTGGCGGCCACCCCATTGGGCCAGATGGCTGTACTTCGATATTGCTGTCCTGTGGCGTTGTGTCCGCCCTGGGGCTGGCCGATTCTGGCTTTCTGTTGAGAACAAGCCCAAGCATGTGGTTCTACAATTTTGGCGCCGGTGTAGCTGACCGTTGGCAGATTGTTAGGTAGGGTTGTTGATGGATTGCCCTGTAGGTTTCGAAACTGGCGTTGCGTCGAGGAATTGATCTGAAAGGCAGGATGTGTGGTGAGAGAAATGGGCGCAGGCTGCGCGAGCGCCAGAATCTGATTAACGTTATTTCTGTAATACCATCCACAAGTACAGCGTACTGTGCAGTTTGTGCTGGATGGCCCACCTGGGGCAGTTCTTGTGGTGCGACTCAGACATGTGTTCGTTTGAAGGCAAGTACACAAGAAGACGACGAGCAGCGAGGGTGCTTCTTTTCCTTGAAGCGTCCCAGGAGTCTGGGGCCACCCTTCCAATTGCGTCGAAAGCCAGGCAAGTGGACGCTGCCTTGCTCACAGCCGTTTGGAGCAGCGGTTGTTTTTTCTGAAACTGCGTCGGCTTGTGTGTAATTATCGATCACGCACTTGTCGATGCAGTTTTAGAAACCCAACTGACGCACAAAGCTCTTTTCAAAAGGAAAAGAAACCGCTTCCCGCAACCAGTGTGAATTGTGCTCTCTGTCTGTTGCCATCAGTGAATATTGAGGCGCTCTCTGGGCGCATTTTGGTCCCCCCGGGTGCCGCTATGATCCCGTACTTCGCTCCCAAAGCCGTTGGGGACGGGTGTCGCCATGGAGAGACGCCTTGAGCCCTGGAAACCGTGGCTATGAGACGCACGCCAAAAACACGGAATCCCAGGCGCGGTACATCCCACAATCTTGAATGTACAGCATCCGGGACATGCTGTGCGATCCCTTTCGTGTGGTTGAGGAGTACTCGAAGTACTGCTGCGATACAAACGGATAGTTGACGAGGCCTCGAGATGGCACAATCTGTGCGCATCGAGAGCGGAAAACGGCAGCCAAAATGTGGGCGGGAAGTAACCTCACATCATGGCCCCGCGCTTCCGTCATCGGCGTACCTCAACTGCAGTCAGCCCAACCCCCCCCAGCGAAGAAAGCACCGCGCGATGCGTAAATAGCATGATGGACCAGCGCTGTCCACCCACTGGCTCCTTGACACCTGGCCACAAAACCTGATCCCCCGTACCAGATCTCCCGAGCATCCCCGCTCGTCGCATCAGCCCATTCTCCGGATTCAAAATCAGTCTTCTGGAGCCCCAAGTCCGACATGCCACCCCATACGACAGACGCAACCATCCACCGACACTGACAGTGACATCACATTCCGCGATCTGGACTGCCAAATCGATAGATGGAATCCCGGGTTGTGGCTGATCTTGCTGGGCGCTGCGGCGGTGTCTGGCAGTGTGCGCGAGTGGCGGGGGCGGCGGCTGGGCGAGCGCGTCGCGGTCGTGGAGCGCCGGCGATAGCCAACTCGAGCCGAAAGGCGTAGGGTTCGTGGAGGGGACCCCGCCCCGGGAGAGAGTGGGCGTACTGCAGATGAGAGGTGCGCGACCATTGGCGTTTTTGGGTGCGCATGCATTGCCGGGAGGTTGCGGGGAGTGGAAGGTGCCCCACTGGATTCCCGCCTTAATGCCGAAGATGATGTGGACGGGGTGTGGGGACCGCGTTGACCTGCGGGCGGGGGGCGTGTTGCGCTTGTGGCGGGGGTCAGCTTTGCATCGTATCTTTATGATGTCTCATGGGACAGTTGTGGTGGCGCGACCCCTGAAGGACAGGTGGCTGCCGCGCTGTTGAATTTTTGAGCGAACTCGGCGCCGGACGGCGGCGCCCGGGCTTGAAAAACTGCAGCTTCCGCACCCGCAGAAAAATTGCGCTCCCCGCGCTGCGGCAGCGAATTCCGCGGCACATCGGACTCGGCTTCGAATGCGACTGACCCGCGCGCGGAGCCCTTCGCGCGTCCGCGATGTTGATTGAGACCGGATTGGGGACGCTGGCCGCGCGGAAGCGTCTGGGAGGGTGCGTGCGGGGTGTGGCAGCCCGACGGTGTGCTCGATTTTGTGGCTGATATCAGACGTCGAACGACGCGCTGCGTTTTGTGCCCGGCGGCAGCGGCCGCCGATCGCCGCGCTTCTGCGCTCGCCGCCCCTCCGCGCTGCTGGACGCCGCCGCCCGCGCCGTTCGGCGGCCCTTCGGCCCCGCTCGACGCCGTTCTGCCACCCTGCGGCCCCGCCAGCAGAGCCGATTGGCAGCGAACTGTCAACTTTAGCAGATGGGGACATGCGGTTGGCGGCACCTGGCGCAGTACGCACCCCAAGCCCCCATCTGGCCTCGCCTGGCCTGGCCCCTTTCCCCCCACGCCGCTCCCGCCCCCTGACTACCCCATCAATCACCTGCCTCCCACCGTTGGTGCAACACTTGGCGCCGCACCCACCCCGCAAGTCGTGGCCCCGCCCGTTTTGGGCCGCCAAATGTTCCACCTCAGTATGCCGTGGAGGCGCCCATCCGCAGGCGCCCCCAACCCCCGTTCGGTCAACCTCTTCCCCGTGCTTTCGCCATGCGTCTCACTCGTCGCGCCGTCACCGGCCCCCCTGATAAGCCCCGCGTACCGCATACATCGCCGACCGCCGCCGGCAGCGCCCCTCGCCCCCCACCGTTCGACCCCCGCCTGGCATGACCCACCTTCGCTGCCCCGTGCCAGGTGAAGCAGGCGCGTGTTTTCACACCGCCTCCTTCGCGTCATCGACAAGCGTGCCGGCTGATCAGCGCCTCCCGTTCAGCAGCGCGATCTCTGGAGAGCAGGCAGGGCCCTGATCCGGGGACACAGTCACGGCAGGAACATCGTACGTGCGGTGGCAGCCGGGATGGGCGTCGCGTGCGGGATGCGGCGCCAGGCTAGCGGCGGTCTCGGCCCCTGCGGGGGAACCCTGGAGGGTCGCCTGGCCGGCGGCGGCGATCGGGAGGCCGAGACGGGCCCCAGCGAGGAGTTCCCGGTCGTGGGGTCCCCCACGCCGTTCGAGGTGGTGCCGTTCTACCGCGGCGGGCCGGCCAGCGCCGACATCCCGTCGTCTTCGGCCTGCTCGTCGACGACTCATTCCTTCGCGCCGATCAGGCCCGTGGTCACCGACCTGGAGGCGGCCGGGCTGACCAGGCAGGGCCAGGCGACCATGGAGGTGCGCAGCACGTGGACCTCCAACCCCTTCCTGCTGTCCAGCGGCGGGGGGCGGTCGCAGTGCGGCGGGGCCAAGACGTGCGCCCAGGAGGCGCTGGAGCAGGAGCACCTGAAGGGGATGACGGACATCTTCAGTTCGTCGCAGAGCGCGGCGTCCTCCGCGGGGGACAGAAGCGGCGGGGAGTCGTCGTCGTCGGCGGCCGCATGCGCAGCCTTCGGCGGCTTTGCGCCGGCGAAGTCGGCCGATCGGCGGAATCAGCTGGTGGAGGACATCTTCAACTCGTGCAGCGAGATGCGCAGCGCGCGCGGCGACCTGTACGAGTCTTCCAAGGACATCTTCGCAACGGCAGAGTCGCTGGCCGAGCCGCAGTCGATGAGCAGGTCGGGATCGGGCCGCCTGCTCTACCAGCAGGCGGCGCCCGTGAGGGAGGTCCCGCCGCCGGGGGGCCCGCTGATGTCGTTCTGGGACGTCGACTCTCGCGGCTCCGCGGGGCTCAACTTCGTGTTCGTGGACGACGGGTCGGTGAGGGACAACGGCCTGTGGGCGGACGGCGCCATGACCAGCGCCAGCACCACGATCGACTCGGTGGGCCTCAGCACGGCCGACATACAGCTCGTGCTGTCGTCCGCGATGTCCTCCCGCGGGGGCGGCAAGGGGGGCGGGATGCCGCAGCTGTGCTACTCGCTCGAGCTTGACACCTGCATGCCGTTCTACGACAACACGTCGACGGGCGGAGTCAAGGACGGCTACCCTGCCGGTCCCTACAACGTCTCCTTCGACTTCGTTAGCAACAGCTTCAGCACGGACCTGGAGTGCGCGATGGCGCGGCAGGCCAGCGGCGGTCTGCTGCACGTGACCACCGCGGGCCCCAGCGCCCCCGAGCTGCTGTCCAACTTCCTGCGCAGCACCAACGGGGAGACGGAACAGCAGCTGCTGGCGGCGGCGCGCGGGGCGGGTGGCGTACAGCAGCGCCTGGTCTCGCGGGCCCTCCCCGATGGTGGCTTCCTCGACATGCCGTCCTTCGACAACCGCTCGCGGACGTTCAGCGACTCCGATCTGTCCGAGGCACACGGGACGTGGGCCCTGGACGTTGCGGCCCTGCGCAGCGGGATACACGACCGGGTGCATCACGCCGAGCGTGGCAAGCATCAACAACTCGGGCTGGCGTGGCAAGTGCAGGAAAAGGTGTCTGCTGAAGATTGGGTGGAGGAGGAGGCGACGGGCGCCAGGGGGGAAGAAGAGGCGTCAGGGGGCAAGGCTGCAGAGTGCGCGGGCTGCGCGGGCGTGGAGTCGGTCGACTCCGCGGCCAAGCCGCCGAGGATGAAGCGCGGGTCGATGGAGAGCCGCCAGTCGCTGCTGGCCCCCGAGATCGAGGCGGCGGAGGGTGAGGAGAGGGCCGCCGGGCCGGCGACGTCCTCGCCGGGGCGCGGCGGGCCGTCCAGGAGCCAGCTGTACGACTCGTCGCGGTCTTGGGTGTCGCATCTTTCGGGAAGCGGGCGGAACAGGCATGCGTGCGGGACCAGCCGGTCGGAGCCGCCCGGCAGGGGGGGCTGCGATCAGGGGCGGCTGTTGAGGGCGGTGGGCAGGTTGCTGGGCAAGTGGACGGCGTGCTTCAAGCCGGCGCCCGGGCGCCTCCTGGCAGCTTGAGGGGCCTAACGGGCCCCAAGGGGCCGGAGGTTTGCAATTTTGGTTTTTTCGCTTCGGGATTTTGGCGCGCGGGGCCTGTGGGGGGGGCCGTCCACGCATGGGGACGCGCCCGGCGGGTGGGGGCGGAACGATTGATCAATTGGTGCGGGGGGGCAAGGGGGTGTATCTGGGATGTGTTCGTGGGGGCGCGGGGTCTTCGGGCGGCATCATGAGCATCACGCGAGGCACGCATCTTGTTTTCCAACTCTGGGGGCGGGTGGATTTTTTCGCTTCGGTTTTTGTCGTTCGGGCTGTGGGTGTTCTACCGGGTGCGGGCTGAAATACAGGTCAAGACCACCAAGACATGGCTTGTGGACTGCTCTTTGTTTGTGCCAGGACTGGTGGAGGTTAGGCCCAGAGGCCCGGGGGGGTGGCTGTGCAGGGTTGTCATATGTATGGAAATAAGACCCGATATAGCTCTTGGGGCTGTGCATGGCCCTGTGGCTGCCTGGCCTGGACCTGAAAAATCTGTATTCCTTGTGGCACTGTGACTATAGTTCTGGAGAGTTGCCTCAGTGGGTGGTGGCACTTGGGTAGAACATTTGACAGTGGCCAGGCATCAACCGAAAGGGCATGTCTTGGAGAGGTGTGCATGTGCGGCGTGTGGCTGGGTGTCAACCGGGTAGCTAGTAGACTGCAGCGAGAGAAGGAACACCTTATAAAACGACTTTTCTGCCTCTGGTAGGTGGCTTTCCCAGGCGTATACGCCAGGTGCGCCCTTCCCATGGAGGCCTTTTCATCTGGGGGGTGTAGCGTAGTTGGGATTTGGTGTAGCGGTAACGGGGGCTTTTGTGTGCAGCACAGATGGCCTGCTGCAGACGAGCTCACAGAACGCTGAGGGGGTTTTCCTGCATCGACCTCCTCATGGACGTGTGGTATTTCCTGTCAAGCCCAGACTGACAGCTCTATGAGATCATCTTCCTATATTATTTTTTGATGGGTTCCTTGACAAAGGCAGAGCGCTCGAATGGTGGCGGGGCACAAGAGGGCCCCTTGCAGTGTAGGGGAATGCTTGCGCGGCGCACGCGACCCCTTCCTGAAATAAAGTGGCACGCCTGGGCTGCACGGGGACGTGTGCATGCGCGCATGTGTGTTCACTGGCGAGTTGCCACTGCTGTCACGTGCAGTGGTGATGCCGCCTGACCTGCGCGTGACGATGCCTACGGGGCTTTCAACAGATTGTGAGTGGCGGTGTGGACGGGTGCATGCCCATGGTGTGACCGGACTACTATTCTTCAGTTCGGTCCTGCTCTTTCTTTTCTTGTACCGAGTCGGCAAGTGCGTAAAAGTGCGTAACGGGAACGCTGGGGCTTGGGTTCGACGTGGAGGGGGCTTGGTCGGTCAGTTGCCTGGTGGACTGCCTCCTCCCCCCTGGCGTGTTGTTGTTTTTCCGAGAGTTGCTCAATCGTCTTTTCGGAGTGACTTTTGAGGTCAGTGGGCGGGATATGTGACCTTTGTAATGTTGGAGATTTGCAGACGCGCTGAAATCCGCCTTCGGGACGGCGTGCTTGCGGAGGCGGTGGCAACGGCCTAGATCGCAGGTTTGCATGGAGTTCATCGCGCTTGTCGCTGCTTCAGTGATGCCATGATGAATAATTTGACGCCATGGTTGACTAACTACTGGCATGCTTGTCGCCTGTCTGCTTGCACCGGCTTCTGGGATCGTGACGACCGCACGGAGAGGAATTCAGGACGAGAGACCTGGTTCTGTTCTGCATGGCATTCCCACACCCCAGGGTCACGCTTGGCTCACCCAAACCAACACTGGTCAGAGTGACCAGCAGTTTTGCAGAATGAACCCACGCTGCTCAGACTGGCCTCGCTGGTATGCAAGGTCATCTGTACGACCACAGGCCGCAGAGCTCAAAACTCAACCCTCAACTTGCCGCGTGCCCATTGTGCAGGTAGCGAGGTTTTGGACACGGTCATTAGCCGCTGTATCCGAGCTTGGCAGCGGCCCTGCCTCGAGCCCCATTGTAGCCTTGAGAACTTGGGCACGCTGTCTGTCCCTCTAGTACGTGCAATGATGGCCTACCCCATTCTGTATGCATGCGCAGCGAGGTGGGCGTCTTACACACAGAAATGCCAAGAAGGTGCACCAACACAAAGGGCCCCACACTTGGGACAAACGCGCAGGTGCTCTATATCTTCCAGGTTGTTGGAAGGAAATAGGAAGCTCCGCACGCACCTTCAACTGTGCTGTTCTATTGTTGGATAGGAATGAAACGATGATACCATAATACTGTTCCGCTTGTGCTGGCCAACGTTGCCACACGCAGGGCACAACAACAGAGGCAGCGCACTGATACTCGACCGTCAGGAACACCCGTGCTGACAAGGAAAGACAAAGCAAACACCCATATCACCGACTGGAAACACCTCTGGGTGTGGAGGTGGCGTTCCCATCCTGCCCAGTGCCGCCATGGCACATGCACCGGTGCATGTTTCCTCCCTGAAGGCGACCGACAAGGTAGCCATTCTGCTCTGGCGACCACGGTTCCAATGGTCGCAGATTGGCCGACGTTCCACACCCCACTCTAACACACAAGCACTGCAACAGACGCATAGCTGAAACAAATACCCTCCACTTCCCTCGCGAGATGGCAACGTCCACAGCCCACTGTGAGCCAGGACTTACGCCATTTCTCACTACTAAGGGCGGATTCACCACGTGGGCTTCTGCTTGCAGTGGAAAGCTCCCTCCTTTTTGGGTATCCACTATGTTCTCCCCGGATCGTCATCGGCTAACAGCATGCATCACACGCTGTGTCACTGTCAACACAACTGGCCCATCCCCTCTCAGCCTCCCAATGTCCACACTCGAGGCAGTGCACCATCCTGGCACACCAATACTGGCATGCTATTGCCACAGGTGTCCTATTTGAGTTAGGGGCGAAGGCCGCCACATGAGGGGGCAACGCCAACGCCCTGGCCTCTCAGAGGCCAAGCAAAAGTCACGAGTTTGGGCCAAACAATTCGAGATGAAGCTGGGGATGCGATCCATACCAAGCGAGAATCCTCCCCTCCATGCATTCTTTCACCCTGGGCGTGAGTGACCCCACCGGACGTGGGACGGCGTGATACCAGCCCAACAGTAAGCATAAGCTGAGCCTGCAAATTTGGTCAGTCAAGCTGGACCTGAAACATTGGGGACACAATTGGCTTAGGAACAAGTTGCCAGATGCAACGAACCACCAAACACTCACTATATCGCATCACCCGTGTTTTAAGGCACCCAGAGCACGAGGACAGCGTTGGTCATCCCCACCCCACCGCACACCTGTTACAAACGATTCTAGATGCTGATGTAGTGAGCTCAAGGCTGTATAGATCTTGATTCTGGTTGTAAAAATTATTGATGACGTGTCTCTGGACAATTGTCTCGGAAAGATTATAGCACTTGTATGTGCCCAGTTCCATCTGATGTTTCGACTCTTCACCCTTCTCACCCTAAGTCTTGTGCGAAAGTAAAGTCGCTTTCATCTGCGTGCTTCCACAGACACTCGCAACAATCCAGCCAGCCCGGTCGGACAACAAAACGTCCTGCTGACCTGGCCCAGGTCACCTTCTCTGTGCCGTCTATGGCAGCTATCACGTGCGTGACTTCGGCACCCACAGCCTGGCTGACCTTTGCACCCAGTTCCTCAGCCAGGCGCCAGTACCTGTGCTGTTGGGGGGCCACATGGTTGAGTGGGATAACACCACTGAACAGCACGTGCACCCCCGCCAGCACCTCTGATCGAATAGCGCCTATGACTCTTCGGACGTCGGCAGTCTCCGGAGACGCTTCCATGAAGTACCGGCTGTGAATCTTCTGCAACACCTGCAGCATGATCGACAACTGGCCGCCAAGGGCGTCTTCATCTGCTCTCTTTGTGAGAAGGCACTGGCAGTTGGCGTCCTCGCTCCATGGAAAGTAATGGTACCTTTCCACACGCAAGAGATTCGCCTTGTGCTCTGGCCACACGCTGTGCATATCATCCACCACTACTGCCGCCGTGTCCCCACCTGGAATCTCGTCCAAGTGCTTCAACCCCCCACGGTCCACGTCGCAGCGAGAGATCAGTCTACTGCTGACGATCTCACCTGTGGGATCAAGCAACCTGGCCATGTCTTCACCATACTCCCTTTGCCCCATTGTGTACAAGTGCACCCGATACAACCCCCTAACACCATCAAGGAACTGGTGCACAAAAGGCCTAAGCTTCGTCCACAGCACACCCCCCTGCAGCTGGAACAGGGTCCTCGGTGGCTGCCTGCACTGCTCCAGGTCTAGAAATTCCCTGAGCTGACGTTCGGCGTCCCCGTTGATGTCTTTCGCTAGGCACGAGTTCACGAGCGTGTGGTCAAGGTCAAGCACCAGGTTCAGCCTCCTCTCCGACCACAGTTCCCAAACCGACACTTGAGGGAGGGGCCTGACGGATGTGGGACCTGGCGCCGTTTTCTCTGGGGTCTTGCAGGTCCCCCCGTCCCCCCCGTTGTCCTGACAAGTCTGCGGCTCTGCCGCACACTCTGGCTCATCTACCTCGACTGGGTCCACACACTTGGGCACAAGGCACCCCTGAACCTCCTCATTAGGCCCCTGAGCGCGTTCGCCCTTCACAGGCGCGCATGCCTCGCGGGCCACGGGCCCCGCGAACCCATCCGGCCGCATATCACACCCCTGAGTCGACGCGCCCGTGGCAACGCTTACTTTCGACCGCTTTACGCCCCGCTGCGCTTCCGGGGGGGCGCGGGGCGGCGGGCTGGCGCACGCACGGGCGGGATCCCGCCCTGCAGCGGGCTGTTTGGCGGAAATGCCAGGCGATTTCGGAAGAGGGGCACCGGTGTGGGCAGTGTCGCTCGTCGCAGGGACCCCACCTTGGGACTGTGGGCTCTGCAGAGCGCCGCGTCCCTCCAAAGGAATCGCGGGCGCGCATCCTGGCGGATATACCCGCCCGTTCGCGCTGGTCCCGTGACCA